CCAGTATGTGTATATCTCACTGGTTAGGAGAGAGTGTGCGAGAGGGTTGCAGTACGTGTGAGAGAGTGAATTTTGGAACGTTAGAAGTAAGCGGAGAGAGAGACAGGCGAGAAAGGATAGGGAGGCGAGGAGTTGGAGAGGAATATAGAGAGCGGATAGGCATAGACGCGGATTTTTAGAATTAGATAATAACAGAAGAGAAACAGCGTTAGACAGATTTTAGGTTAGGTATAGATTGTAACACGAGGGGGCCGCGGGGAAAAGAGGGGTAGCGATCAGGCGAGCGCGGAAGGAGAGGCGAAGCAGACGGAGTGGATGGAGACAAAGGGCACAGGAGAGAAAAGGACGGGAGAAGAAATAGAAGAAAGGAAGAGGGCACCACTTAATAAGAGCAAGGCAACAAATAGAAAGAGAGCAGACTCAGTAGGAATTCTCGATTTTTTAAAGAGAAAGAGAGAGGACGAACCGGAGGGCTACGTAAGAGATAACGAAGTCTTTAAAAGGAGTAACCTGACGGTAAGATCTCCGGTGAAGAGAAAAGAAGTACAAGAGGGAACAGAGAAGAACGAAGCGAAAGAAGAGACAAATAGAGCAGGTAGAATGGAAGAAATGGTGACAGAGTTACTGAGAGAGGTAAGGCTGATGAGAGGGGAGTTGGAGGAGGAGAGAAAGAGAGCACAAAAAGAAAGTAAAGAAATAAGACAAAAGCTGAAAAAGGTAGAGGAGCAGTGGAAGAAGAAAGAGGAGAAGACCGGCAGCAGAATAGAGAAAATAGAAGAAACGATAAGGAAAATGCAAGAAGAGAACTACAGGAGGGAAGTACAGAGGAAGGTGCAAGAAGAAACGGAAAAGGTAGGAGGAGGGAGGAGAAAGAGCAACGAAAGGCAGGAAGAAGGGAGGGAGGTGAACAATCTAAGGCGGAAACTGGAGTTGATGGAACGGAAGGAGAGGAAGAATAAAATAGTAATAAAAGACCTGAAGCTGGAGGTAGGAAGAGAGAGGGAGGAAATAGGGGAGTTTATGGAAATGGAATTTGAGGCGAGAAACGATATTAAAAATATAGAGATAGTTGGAAAAGGAGAGAAGAGAATAGCAGTAGTAGAAATTATAAGATGGGAAAGGAAGCAAGCAATAATGGACAAAAAAAGCAAATTAAAGGGAAGGAAAATTTTTGTTGACAATGACCTAACAGAGGAAGAGAAAAACATACAGAAATTGATTGCGAAGAGAGCTAAAATAGAAAGAGGGAAAGGAAAAAAAGTGAAAGTAGGTTATAGGAGAATAATGATAGAAGATGTAATGTATAAATGAAATAACGCGGTAGAGGAGCTGGAGGTTTTTCGGGGATAAGACGAGGAGAGAAAAGAGGTGAAAGGGAGCCCGGAGGGAAGGCGTGTAAAGATAAGGCAGGATTAAACCCATACAGCACACTAATGTTGAATCAACATCTCAGAAATGTTGAATTGCAAGATTGCAAATGTTGCAGCAACATCGCAAAATGTAGATTCAACGTTGAAAAGACATTGCAGAAATGTTTAATGTCCCTTGAATCTATGTCTTAGAGACACTGCAATTCAATATTAATTCAACATTAATTCAACGTATAAGCAATGTAATAATTTAATTCGCACA